TAGTGTGCTCAATTTCTAATCACCAGCTTAGCCAAATGCAAAACTATATCAGTACGACCTGTTAAATGATGGTAGACAGTTTCATTTTACTAACGTCAAACTCGATTCCTTGACGTTGGATAAGCTAGGCTATTTGAGATTGTTAACAATCCGTTTACATATTTCAAATCCTTATTTGGCAACGTTGGTAACTTCGATTCTAAAAGCTTTAGGATTTAATTTATCACTGAATTACTGTGGGAAGGAAAAAGGTAATCTGAATATTTTCACTGTTGATTTTTGTCACATAACATTAGGAGAGCATTCTGGTCATAACCACTTTTATAAAGATACAGACTGTTGGAGAACCTTGCATATAGTTGTTAATCTATTCTACTTCCGTCTAACACACTGAGAACATTACGAACAATACATTTTCAAGTGACATCTGAAACCCCCGAAGAAGTAAAACTTAGTAAATCCGTTCGTAGGACTAGACGAAAGTTCACATAACTTATATTAGAAGTTGTAACAAAAGCTTGTGAGTGGAAGTTCAAAAAACAAAGGCATCTCCAATTTCTTAACTGCCTGATTTTTACTATAAAAGACCTTAAATCAAGGAAGGAACCTGAACAATTTCTGTACTTCGTTATTCAGGTTGCTTGAGATTTCTGCTTTCATTGTAATGGTAAGAAACATCTCAGTGATGTTATCAAGAAACATCTTGACATCATATAGTTGAACATTAAAAAATCAATTATACTACAAAAACCTCATAACAGACGCCATTTTGAAGCGTCCAGACAAAAGAAATTTCGTAAACCACTTTAAATTCAATACAGATATGAAATCCTGTTTTTCGTGTCGTCGACTTCATTTTTGCTGTTCACTTAATTTTCGCTTAGCAGATTGCTGTGTATGTAAGATGAGTATACATTTGCACTATAATCGGATCTTTGAACTCTTGAAGGTCGTGGGAATTGCAGCAGAAGGACTATGTTGAAAATTCCTTCAAACAGCTTTAGAACGGTATTGTTATTTTCTTTTTATCAGTACAGGGTTTGGAAGATTGTTGAGTTTTAACTGAGATCATAAACCAACTATTATTTAACCGCAAATGAAAATCTGAAGGCAATGGACGGCTTTTTTGTCCGACTATGAGACTTCCCAAAGGTGCTCACACGCAGTCGTGCAAATGGGATTCAAACCCACGACCTGCGTTATTGAGCCTGAATGGTTAAGCTTTAGACAACTGAGCTGGCTTTCAACGGTGTTTATGTCCAACTCCAACCGATCTACGATATTGAGCGACCATCTTTCTTTTTCCTTCTCTGTGTTTTGTATTTTAACTGAACTGATACATTTGTAACCATGTTTTATGTTCTTCAGTCTACTTTGTCTAGACCTATGTTATTTGACTTTGGTTAGGATTTACCCTTATTATTTAATTTTGCTGTTGCATTTTCACTGAGTATTGATAATAAAGTTCCGTTTGGCTGATCCGAAGCTAGCAGTGTGATCGTGTCTACGACTTTTAACTTTAACCGGACTGTTGAACATGGTTTCTCAAGACTTTGTAGACGAATAGTTGATCTCATCTTATTGGGAGTACTTTAACTGAATCTGACGTACCGAAACATGTCAAAATCACTCTTTTTCCTGATCTCAAGCTATTTTGTGTCAAGTAAGTTTTCAGCTGTGGATCACAGACCATAACATTTGAATTATTTTACAGTTTTGATATAATGTGTCTTCTTTAATAAAACAGAATCGTTTTCATTATGCAAAATGTTTGTTTATATAAACTCTGAGTTACTCAAAAAAGGCATTCTGTACATTACACGAAAACGTTTTCCGATCGAATCGAATAAACTTTGGTTTGTCAGCTCTGTGTTCAGACCGCATACTGCCATTTCCATCGTTACATGGGTTATTTAAATTCAACCAACATTTCACGGGATAAGCTGGTTAGTTCCAATGATGCCTAATCAATCTTATACATGACACCAGACGTGGAAAAGTATTTTGATATTGTTTTTCCCTACGCTTGGTCGTAATTTCTTTCCTCGATATCGTCGATGGTTAAACCACCCTTTCTCTCACACATTTCCCCTCACTTCTCTCTCTTACATTATATGAACCCTCCAAATTATATTCAATCGTTACGTAACCCACCGTATTTGTTTTTAATCCCATGACTCTTTCAGTACCTCTAAAATTATAACACATTTCATCTTATCTGTCTTTGAACTCCACTCAACTATTACGCCACCCACCCTTTATGCTTCCTTCATTCTAATACCTAATAACCTCTGACCTTTTCTTACATATAGTTATCATTGATAACCTTTTGTTATTCCAATCCTTTACATTCAATTATGTCAATTGTTCCACACTATTTATTACCTTAATGCTAAAACTCTAATACATATTTGGATGTAAGCAGCTGATGAGAAACCACGAAATATAATAAATTCATATTATTCTGCATCAATATTTGTTCTGTCTTTATTTAAATTGGTAAAGAGAACTAACTGCATGAAACTTTTTACTTCCGCTGAAATCATTTGAAGCAGCTCTGTTGCATGTTACTGCACTATTCAAAAATACTCTTTGTCCATTCATTAGTCAATAAATTCTCTCTATTAACTACCATTTCGAGCCCGATCGCCTAGTGTATTTTAAGTAATCGTTGTGATGTTTGCACGTGAGAAGATCTCTTCGCATATCATCACAAAACCCTTTTTATTTTCAAATTTATAACGCATTCGGTATCGAACTATATCAACTTAAAGTGTCTAATATCAGATTATCTTAATCTTGCGTTTATTTCGCTGCTTTCAATGATATAGTTTCATTGGTGCTTTTTTTGTAGCTACTAGAGTACTTATTTGAAGGCTCAGGAAATTACCCGGATAGCACATTAATTTCAATTCCGCAATATTTAGCTCTTTCTTTTTGGTCATTTTTGAAAGCTTGTTTATTTGTGATTGTTTTAAAGTGATTGGACACATATTGCTCCTGGATAAGAGGTTTATATACTGCATAAAACGAAGCAATATACTGCAAGTGACAGCGATACCTACTCATTTCTTTACATCTTTGTCATTCGCAAACAAAAACACAATCTACATTTTAGAAACTAACTTATTTCTAACTGCTGTCTCACATCAGCATGATCTCCATGACAATTTCCTCGATAGACGTGTTGACCTATGACGATTATCAATAAGCCCTTTCTCAAATAACTTCAACTGTGGAGTATATATATATATATATATATATATATATATATATAGAGAGAGAGAGAGAGAGAGAGAGAGAGTCACGTGGCGATTAGGTCTTTTTCACATCCTCAATAATTCCATACTTTCTGCAAGTCATTGAGACCTATCATGTACTTACTTTTGTTTATAACATTCTAGTGAACCATATGTATGTATGCTATTTAGTTTGCCTTGTTTGAGCGTGAGTCCGTCCATCATTTACACTTTTGTCTGTTGACCCAGTCACTAAAATTACTATTTGTCAGTTCCCGCTATGTTAGCAAAGACACAAAAGTAATTTAATGTATCAAACATTTCCGTTTGAATTTAGCATTAGAACATTTGGTACTACTTCAATAAAGTTTTTAATACTAGGTAAATACACGGCGTTTACTGAAGTACATACATATACATACTTCACTGTCGTTATGATTCATCATCAAAAGTTGAGTCAACGTAAGTGGTGTAAAATGGTTAGTTCAGTAATCGAGCCTGACGCAACCTATCTTTCACTAATTAACTAAAATCCAGATCTTTTCAATTAATTTACTTCTATAACTGGCACTTACATATATTTTTTTTAGAAAGGCAACCAAATTTGTAAAGACATACCTTCTGTTATTACTTCAAGATTATGATTTATTTATAATGTCCAGTTCAATCGTCTTAAGGATCATGAAAGGAATAATGTGTGACAAGATATCGATTGCTTTATTTGAGGTAATACCAAAGCACAGCTCCTGATTAAGCAAAGAAATTCGAGTAAAATCTACCCCAGATCGCTTTGCTGCTTTTGCTAGGTGCAATAACATGAGATATGATAACTAACAGAACTGTTGAGCAGAAGAAAAACTTTGATGTTTTCAGTCACTTGAAAAGCATCTGAAGAATTACGTGCCATGATCCAACTCTTAGAAGCCTTGAGTTGCCTTACTCACAGTTAATTAAAATATTCTTCCACACTAAAATGACCTTTAATAACCCTATAAAAGAAGTCTAAACTTCTTGATCCATTAAAATTGGCGTGTTTTCTTCATGTTATATTTCATAATAAAGTGAAGTCTGTAGTAAATCATTAAGATAGACCAAAACTCAGGTGGGTGATTTTTATATTGGTTTGTTCTCTGAGCTGGATGGTTTGGTCGTGCAATAAACAAACATATTGAAATCAATCCAATCTATCAACCAATCAAGAAAATTATGCAGGAACATAGGAACAAAAATCAAAACAATAGGAGAGACAATCAAAACAAAGAAATAAACAATGACAGATTTAAGGTCAATAAGAACCAATCAACATCGAGGTGCAGAGGACAAGCTGTGAATCACATGTGGAGAAATTCAAACACTTCACTTCTACCCGAAGTTTGTGCTGATGATGTCGTTCAGAAGGACGATGAAAGCTCCACGACCAAACCATCCAGCTCAGAGAACAAACCAACATAAAAATAGACCAAAACGTTTTTAAATTCTAAGTTTTTAAAAAAATATTTTCATATTTTACTGGTGTCAGACTGGTTAACGGAGTTTAAATATCGTTCTATAGTAGGGTTTACATGAGAACAGATATAGGAGTAACTTACGTCTCGCAAAATATTTGGTATTATTCTGCATCATATAAATGTAATAAGACTTGGAAATTGAAGGCGTTTCATTTAACTACGTCTCCAGTTGACAAAAAACGAATGTCACTCGAAGTCTTTTTACCACATATTATCAAACTTTAGACTTAACGAACAGTGAAGAAAACAAAAGTCAATGATCAACGTTTAATATATGTCACAAAATGATAACCAAAATTCATCAGGTTACTTTCAAATATCCCAATATTCAAATTAAACAAAATACAGGTTCAAAATCACAATATAGATTATGACGTATCTAAAGGCATAGACTGATCAAAATGGACTACATTTTTTAATGAGTTGTGCATCAATATGTTTTATAAGTTGTCGAAAAATCCATACTATCTTGATAAAGTACGATTCTTCATTATGATTACAGAATGCGTGATATGATAATGGGCATAAACACAGTATTGACATAGTTTATACGTGTGAATAATAAGTTGTATGAGTAGGATCCTGAAAATCAAAATAAATAAAGATTACTAAAATGTTTTAGTTACATACAAAAAATAATGTGTACCATCAATATGAGTCCTTAAAAGTCTACACAATAACTTTTGTTCGATAAAAAATTACTGAAAATCACATTGAAGAAATTAAGAAATACAACAATGAAAGGGGATTTATATTTGGTTGCAAAATCAAGCGTTTTTACATCAAAATGTAATAAAATATACTTCGAAAGCTGACATATGGCTTTTATGGAATCAGAAATATAGGCAACAGAGGAATGATTGAAAGGACAGATAGCATAACAGTGAAATCAGTGAATGTAAACTAAAGAAAATCCTAAGTCATGTTATTGAACAAACTAGGACTAAGTGAAGTTCAAAAATCAAGCTACTAATCGTTTGCACTGTTATACAGCAATGAAGATGAACATGAATTATTGTGAAAATGTGCTGACATATAAAGAACATTCATACGTTATATGAAAATAAAATATCGATCAACTTACTGAAAGTCGAGGATGCAGATGATGAAACTGCAAAAGAAAACAATGGTAACGAAATTGAATGAAAAACAATACGAGAAATTGTAAAAGGAAAGTTTAAATAACCATCAGGAACACTGATAAAACTACGACCGAGAATCAAAGAACCATAAAAGTTTACCATAAGCACAAACGGATGACTAAAAAAGCGGAAATGCAGAAACTTCGTGAATGCGGAAGAAGTTCTTATTAGTAGACGAATAAAAAACGATCACAGATACTTAATTACGCTTGTTACCCGGAAGAGCGAAACCGCCAACCACCATTCTCCATCAAACTCAGTATTCGAGAATTCTTCCCAGTTCTATCCATCCTTTCGATGCTTTCGTTCAATTCTTGACTCAATGTGTACTTTGATCTCCCTCTTCTACATTCCTCTTCAGGATTCCAAGTTAACATTCACCTAACGATAAAGTTCGATGATTTCCTCAATGAAAGTCACATCCACTTCCGGCCGATTTTCTCAATTTGCTCTTCAGTTGGAAGCTGATTTTTATCATTCACAGTAGTTTGTTGTTGATGATGTTTGACCAACAGATATTGAGTATCTTGTGTATACAATGATTAGTAAAATTCTGTACTTTCTCGATGATAGTTGTGGTAGTTCTCCAGGTTTCAGCTGCATACAGTAGAACTTTCGTGACGTTCATATTGAGGACTGTGACGATGCAGTTGGCTTGAGGACAGTTGTTTTCAATTCTATATATTGCAATGTGAACGTGATTTTCATTTCTGTCACTGTGTTCTGACGCGAAAGAGGTACAAAGTACAAAAGTATGCGTACAATCTGCCCTGGGTTTCATGTTGCATAGATAGATTTTAATTTCCAATTTCATTCCGATTAATATTTATTTCGAAATTTCGCAGTAGCAAACCATCCGAGTGCTATGGCTTTTCACTTGAAGGGGCCAAACTTGGTACATTTACATTCGTTTTACAACCTGATATTTATCTATTTCATCCGATTCGAATATGATATTAACTTCTCACGGTTATAAAAATTTTGACCACCATCGTTACCATTTCAACATCAACAGTGATGCACACTACGAGAGATGCAAACAGGGTATAAAAGAACGTTCACAAAAACCAAAACAGCTTCCTACAACAGACTCAGCAAGTCAGGTCGCAAGTGGGTATGTGGTTCAGGCAACATGAATGCTGAGGATATTCTGAGCAACATTATCAGTCTTCTGACAGGTTTGTGGAAGAAATTGTCAGTAACCGTGAAAAAGCAGTCCCGAATTGGATGAGCAAACAAACACATGCAGTGAAGTAAATAACACGATCTTCGACAACACCAATATTTCTGGATCAGGCATCAACACCAGTGAGGATGTGCTGAAACTCGTCACCGCCATATCATCGATGTTGTTAGACTGCCTCAGTAAACTTGTGCCATCCAACATTCCGTCCAAAGTGCAACAACTGCAACTAATGACTAACACTAACATTACATCTGAACGATGGGACTGACACGGAGGTGAGAGTTACGATCCCAGTTCCACACAACTGGTTGTCGATCGTGATTGCATGGAATTAATTCCATTGATCGAAGGATAGTCGGAGCAGTTTCACTGCATATGTCATACCAACTTTGCTCTTGTATAACCTATCATCTGTCTCCTCTACCCAAATTGATTGGGTTTCCACAGTATCTTTCACAGATGTTGGGAATCGGTGATTGAACGGGTGGTCATTCAGATTGTGTACACCTCAAACTACCACTTGATGTCACGAACGAGAGTTAGATTGTGAGACTGCGAAACACCAATCAAGCAGTCTGTGTGTTTGTGTGTGCGTATGTGCGTGTGTGCGTATGTGTCCGTCATACTGGAATGTCGTATTTGTTCATGACCACTACCAAGTCAATAATATATGCAGATTAGATGACTATTGATCATGAACTTACCGGAAGTTGAACTAGCGGACGTAGGACCTGCATGGAAATGCAACAAAATGATCGTCAAAATTAAGAAGTATGGATACGAGATAAACGTTAGAAAAAGTAGAAGACGAGTAAACCTCAGCACAATTCAGCAAAATAAGACGAAACATTGAGGTTATTGGGCGCTTCTCCTACAGTATATTATTTCCAAAATAGTACCAGTCTGATGTAGTGGATATTCGTCACCCGAATGTAATGACTCATGCTTTTCCACTTCGAAACAAATCAGTGCTCTCATTATGGTGTGTGTGTGTGTGTTTGTGAGCTCAACAATGTCTTCAACTGAGTGTTCAACAATCAGACCTCACAACAGCTGCCTACAACAGACTCAGCAAGTCAGGTCGCAAGTGGGTATGTGGTTCAGGCAACATGAATGCTGAGGATATTCTGAGCAACATTATCAGTCTTCTGACAGGTTTGTGGAAGAAATTGTCAGTAACCGTGAAAAAGCAGTCCCGAATTGGATGAGCAAACAAACACGTGCAGTGAAGTAAATAACACGATCTTCGACAACACCAATATTTCTGGATCAGGCATCAACACCAGTGAGGATGTGCTGAAACTCGTCACCGCCATATCATCGATGTTGTTAGACTGCCTCAGTAAACTTGTGCCATCCAACATTCCGTCCAAAGTGCAACAACTGCAACTAATGACTAACACTAACATTACATCTGAACGATGGGACTGACACGGAGGTGAGAGTTACGATCCCAGTTCCACACAACTGGTTGTCGATCGTGATTGCATGGAATTAATTCCATTGATCGAAGGATAGTCGGAGCAGTTTCACTGCATATGTCATACCAACTTTGCTCTTGTATAACCTATCATCTGTCTCCTCTACCCAAATTGATTGGGTTTCCACAGTATCTTTCACAGATGTTGGGAATCGGTGATTGAACGGGTGGTCATTCAGATTGTGTACACCTCAAACTACCACTTGATGTCACGAACGAGAGTTAGATTGTGAGACTGCGAAACACCAATCAAGCAGTCTGTGTGTTTGTGTGTGCGTATGTGCGTGTGTGCGTATGTGTCCGTCATACTGGAATGTCGTATTTGTTCATGACCACTACCAAGTCAATAATATATGCAGATTAGATGACTATTGATCATGAACTTACCGGAAGTTGAACTAGCGGACGTAGGACCTGCATGGAAATGCAACAAAATGATCGTCAAAATTAAGAAGTATGGATACGAGATAAACGTTAGAAAAAGTAGAAGACGAGTAAACCTCAGCACAATTCAGCAAAATAAGACGAAACATTGAGGTTATTGGGCGCTTCTCCTACAGTATATTATTTCCAAAATAGTACCAGTCTGATGTAGTGGATATTCATCACCCGAATGTAATGACTCATGCTTTTCCACTTCGAAACAAATCAGTGCTCTCATTATGGTGTGTGTGTGTGTGTGTTTGTGAGCTCAACAATGTCTTCAACTGAGTGTTCAACAATCAGACCTCACAACAGCTGCCTACAACAGACTCAGCAAGTCAGGTCGCAAGTGGGTATGTGGTTCAGGCAACATGAATGCTGAGGATATTCTGAGCAACATTATCAGTCTTCTGACAGGTTTGTGGAAGAAATTGTCAGTAACCGTGAAAAAGCAGTCCCGAATTGGATGAGCAAACAAACACGTGCAGTGAAGTAAATAACACGATCTTCGACAACACCAATATTTCTGGATCAGGCATCAACACCAGTGAGGATGTGCTGAAACTCGTCACCGCCATATCATCGATGTTGTTAGACTGCCTCAGTAAACTTGTGCCATCCAACATTCCGTCCAAAGTGCAACAACTGCAACTAATGACTAACACTAACATTACATCTGAACGATGGGACTGACACGGAGGTGAGAGTTACGATCCCAGTTCCACACAACTGGTTGTCGATCGTGATTGCATGGAATTAATTCCATTGATCGAAGGATAGTCGGAGCAGTTTCACTGCATATGTCATACCAACTTTGCTCTTGTATAACCTATCATCTGTCTCCTCTACCCAAATTGATTGGGTTTCCACAGTATCTTTCACAGATGTTGGGAATCGGTGATTGAACGGGTGGTCATTCAGATTGTGTACACCTCAAACTACCACTTGATGTCACGAACGAGAGTTAGATTGTGAGACTGCGAAACACCAATCAAGCAGTCTGTGTGTTTGTGTGTGCGTATGTGCGTGTGTGCGTATGTGTCCGTCATACTGGAATGTCGTATTTGTTCATGACCACTACCAAGTCAATAATATATGCAGATTAGATGACTATTGATCATGAACTTACCGGAAGTTGAACTAGCGGACGTAGGACCTGCATGGAAATGCAACAAAATGATCGTCAAAATTAAGACGTATGGATACGAGATAAACGTTAGAAAAAGTAGAAGACGAGTAAACCTCAGCACAATTCAGCAAAATAAGACGAAACATTGAGGTTATTGGGCGCTTCTCCTACAGTATATTATTTCCAAAATAGTACCAGTCTGATGTAGTGGATATTCATCACCCGAATGTAATGACTCATGCTTTTCCACTTCGAAACAAATCAGTGCTCTCATTATGGTGTGTGTGTGTGTGTGTTTGTGAGCTCAACAATGTCTTCAACTGAGTGTTCAACAATCAGACCTCACAACAGCTGCCTACAACAGACTCAGCAAGTCAGGTCGCAAGTGGGTATGTGGTTCAGGCAACATGAATGCTGAGGATATTCTGAGCAACATTATCAGTCTTCTGACAGGTTTGTGGAAGAAATTGTCAGTAACCGTGAAAAAGCAGTCTCAAATTTGATGAGCAAACAAACACGTGCAGTGAAGTAAATAACACGATCTTCGACAACACCAATATTTCTGGATCAGGCATCAACACCAGTGAGGATGTGCTGAAACTCGTCACCGCCATATCATCGATGTTGTTAGACTGCCTCAGTAAACTTGTGCCATCCAACATTCCGTCCAAAGTGCAACAACTGCAACTAATGACTAACACTAACATTACATCTGAACGATGGGACTGACACGGAGGTGAGAGTTACGATCCCAGTTCCACACAACTGGTTGTCGATCGTGATTGCATGGAATTAATTCCATTGATCGAAGGATAGTCGGAGCAGTTTCACTGCATATGTCATACCAACTTTGCTCTTGTATAACCTATCATCTGTCTCCTCTA